AAATTAAGCGATGAGATTTGCCAGACAATGCTGAATAACAGTGGAGAAACTTGGGTGAAGGAGCACTAAGTTTAGAGCTTAATATAAGTGAAAAAACTTACCTAGTCCACTTGTGGTACTGAGTAGAAACGCCTACGGCTTGATGGGCCGGAACATTCCTGTTCGTTCAGTTTTCTAGTGTGATTTCACATTTTTTAGTTAAAATATGATTTTAATACACATATAATTTTAACTAAAAATAGTCGATATATAATTTTAACTAAAGTTGTGGAATTATACTAAAAAAGTTAATATATAATTTTATACTTTTTATATTATATTTTTATACATTTCAGGATTAATATTTCTATTATTTACAGACAAGGGCAAGCATTAGTTGGTGCATTAAATCTTGTTGGTGTTCCCTCTTTACTGCGGATCAAAATCTAATTATCGCGTACTTGAACTCATTGACCCGGGCTTCCGACAGTGATAGTTGGATTTGTCGACTTATCACAAACATCTTGTTACGAGTAATCGCTTTGACGCTTATACGACAGAAAGCGAATTTATACAATTGTCCAGCTTAGGTCAGCGCTCGAAATCGAAGCGATCAATGATTCGTGCGTACCACGCTACACTTCGGTAACATACTGTGCGCCAATTTGTGCAGCGAAACAGACGCCGTTTGAGGAACCAGTTGGATACTGTAGTGAAGAGTGCAAGAATGCTGTGCGCGCCTGTCTTCATGAAAGCGCCAATGAGTGGGACAGTTCAGTGGTCATTTTGCGAAAGCTGAGCGCTGAGTTTGATAAAGGTTTTGTCGAAGTACGCCTGTTTTTCAAAAATCCACATTTTTGTTCATTTCGTTGAAAAAGTTTAAATTATAAATTTTCTCCATCGATTTTTCATAATTTTTCATGCTATCTATCATCTTTCGGAAATCCACATTTTATCAGTCAGATAAAATTTAAGTACCAAAAATTTTAAGAACTTCCGGATAATCGGTTTAGTGTTTTGAGCCTGGCATTGATGATGTTGCCGGGACGCTCCCACACGTTAAGCTTCCTACCGAAATGCACATCTATTTAAGTAGTTAACTAACTGATTCATTCATCTGAATGATTCGGGAAGGCGATATGAAGCAGTTAACACTGCCGGGATGCACTCAAGCTAGTAGGGTTGTTTGTTCAGATTTTGAAGTTGCGTAACATTTTCTGGATTAATATTTACCTACTTTCGAATTGAGAGCGGAGCAGATCGAGGAAAAATGAGCTAAAAGTTATTTTTTTAATTTGATTGGAAGCTAACAAGATGGAACTGTGCCATGTCTAGTTCTCACCCAAGCTGTTTTGATCTCAATAGTCCAGCCGGCGAGTCATATCTTCAGCAAGCTTCAGTCAGTTTGTTCTCATTACGTACTCGCTTCGGTAATTTGTGGCTAAGTAAGCAAGCAAATGTATAAGTAACTAATAATGTGTGGAAATTGGCTCTTTGAACTACGTCCGACGACGAGTTTCAGTGAATATTTGGTCTTTCAATTTTATTCGGAAAATGCTTTTTCGAAACCCATGTTTCGCGTACCTTTGAGGCAGTATACTATTTTTAAATGTTGGTAAGCTAATGCTAGTGTCAAGTAACTGTAGAAATTACTCCACTTTACTACCCAGACTGCAACGCATCAGACTAGCCGGCACAATCATGCGTCTTTGCGTTAAATTAGCAGCAGTCAGATCGTTAACAGCACAAATGGTTCCCGCGCTGTGGTTTAAAACATACATTCGTGCTGAGTGTTTTCAACTTTTCCAGCATGCAGGGGAAATGGGTGTCGGCTGAGTTGGAGGAACTGCATTACGGGGTTGCATAAACTTTGGGCATATTTGACTGTCAATTTTGCATAAAGCCCTGTTGTTTCCCCGATGAGCGGTTTTTCATCTGAAAAGGCAAATTTGACAATGGCCAAGATTTCGGAAAAGGATTTGATTTCGCGAGTCAGGCAAGATGCAAAGCTGAAACTTTGCACAAATATTCTACTTTTAAGTGCGGTCTTAATTCTGCTTGGTGGTGAAATTCCCTGCAAGCGGTTATGAGAAATATTCAGTTTTATCGCGAAATCAGAAACGAGTGCATTTTGCAGCGAACGATCGCCCTTACCTTCCCCCAACATACAAATGAACTCATTTGCTTATTTGGGTTTTTTGACGAACGACCGCTCTAGCGTTAGTTCCACTTTTCAGTGAACTGGAAATTTGCATTTTTTTGAAGAGCGAGCATTTACCAGAACGTAGGCTGGAACGCACCAGGCGAGCCGGTGCGATCATGCGTTTTTGC